TTTTGTTTGTCGACAGAGGACTTTGCTTCTCAATTGCCTATTCAGTCCGAAGTAGCACCTGTTGGCAAGAGTTAAGCTGCGTTGGATTTCCAGGCTGGCATTGTTGGTGGTGTTTACGCTGGTTCCAAGATAGATGAAGTTATCTACGACTTCGAAGTTATGACTGTCAACAGTGACGTGCGTGCTTAGTCGACATTTTCGATCACCACTAGACACATTTGCTTCGCTTCCTTGTCCATTCTGTAGAAATCTGGACTAGCGGCGCGGTTGTTAAGGCCAATGTTTACTCTTATAAAAAATTGTACCTTCGCTGTTTAGTTCTGCAGCGGGAATTATTTTCTTCAAATGTAGATTGAAGAAGTCACATGAAAGCGAGTCGCGTTGTCTGAAACCTCGTTTGATACTAAACGACTCAAAGGGGTCCTTCCCGATCCTGACGGAACTTTTGGTATTGCTTAAGGTCGTTGTACACTGACGTATTATTTTTACAGTGATACCTAATTCAGACATCGCGGTATGTATAAAGTCAGTTCCTTTCCATGCTGTCAAAAGCTGCTTTGAAATCGGTGAAGAGGTGGTGTGTCGATTTTCCTTTCACGGGTCTTTTCCAATATTTGGCACATGGGGAATGTCTTGTCGGTTGTTGATTTGCCAGTCTAAAGCCAAATCAGTTTGTTGACGGTGGACTTTAATCTTTCACGCTCGATAGAACCTTATATGTATGCGATGTTTAGAAGACTTATTCCACGGTAGTTGGCACAGATTATTTAGTCTCCCTCTTTGTAGATTTGGGAGAGCACACTTAATTTCCAATCGTCGAGCATGCTTTCATCGGACCCTATTCTACAAAGAAACTTGGGCATGCTTCTTATCAGTTCTTCGCCGCCGTTTTTGAATAGCTCAGCCGGTAGTCCATTACCCCCGCTACTTTGTTGTTCCGCAGCCGGGTAATTGCTATTCGGACTTCTTCATGGTTGGGCAATGGAACGTTCGCTTCATCGTCATCGATTGGGAAATTGGGTTCGCCATCTCCTTGTGATATGCCTTTACTGCCTTCTGTTAAACCCCGCATCTTTTCGTAGCATTTCCGAGCATTACCCCTGTCGGCCATCTTCTCAAGCTCTTCACCCCCTGTTTTACTGCATATGAAAGTACAAAATATTTTTATAAGAATGTGTTGATACAGTTTTACTCTTATCTATTTTCTAATAACAATAAACTTAAAAAATCCACTTCTTAATATAAAACAACATTTTTATGGATGGAAAACTCAAATAATATGTTGACAAAAGTCTACATACAGTAAAAAAATATCTTACTTTAGTGCGAAAACTTTACAAAATGGTAGTTATTAAGACGTTTTAGTATTTAGTTGGGCCCCCATTGGCATCTACAACTGCTTGAAGACGCCGTGTCATTGATTCTGCTAAATTTGTCAACTCTGCAGACGATTATTAATATTTAATTAGATAAGTAAGATTTCAAAAATAGTATATATAAAATTAGAATGAAAGATTTTTCAGCTCAAATAAGGTCTTTATTTTTCCCCCACCAGCGGTAAGAACTTAAAGACTCTTACTTGAATTTAAATTTTTATCATACAAATCAAACAGTTTAATATTATAATTCAAACATTGGGTCCTTCGAACCGGATAGTTTGATATTACAAGTCAAACACTGTAAAAATATTTACTTAGGCAAGTAGCTCGAAATATTGGAGTGAGATAAATAATTGATTTCAATGCTTGAAATTAATGCCACGGACGTACACAGGCAGTAGCAAACGGCACGTAGTGAGGCCCAATATTTATATAATATTATGGCATATGAATGTGACACGAGAAATTGCTTGCGAAAAATTTTTTTTTGAGAAACAAGTTGAATTTATTTGAACAACAATTAATAAAAACACAAAAATAAATTAAAGTAATTTAACAAAATTTTCCTTCAGCGATCTTCTCGTGTCGCTCCACGCAGAGTCGTATTTCTGTGGCAAATACTCTCAGAGGCATATTTCTGTAACGTGACAATTTTAATTATTATGTACCATATTATATTACGTACATAAATATCATAAAATCAATTGATATAGTTTACATATACTATTTCTAGTAACATCTCTGTATATCATTTATTTGCTGTCCATTTGAAGATATAGATAAACACTTCTACATTTATGGTTACCAAAAATAATTGGAAGTGGTTTTCATTATGCCTATTTTAATTTTTTGCTCTTAAAGTAGCATGCTGCAATGTGGGAATTCTAGCATTACTACTTATTTTCAAAAAAGATCAAATGCCGATACATATTTATTGAATAACTTTTAACGTATTTAATGAACCTAATTAAATGAATTTAGGTAAAATACAATATCTTTTTAACATAAACTTTATATTAATTTAAATTTTTATATTTCTTTCTCTTTCTTTTTCTCTATCTTTTAAAATGGATTTGTTTGGCAATGGTTACTACATGCACCAATCTATCACTACCTCTATTAAAATTTTGTATGTATTCATTTTGAAATTACCTACAACTCCAACCACTTGTTGCGGCTATTATCCTGTCTCTTATACACATCTAGATGTGTATAAGAGACAGCATATATATATATATTAATAAACATAAATGCCAAATATTTTACTACCATATTTATATGAAAAAATTATTGCTAAATACTGCACGACCTACTACTATTATTATCAATTTAAATTTCAAAAATCATGTAAATATTTGCCGTTCTCGTATCTATTTGTCCACCTTAATATGTTAATTAAATAATAAAACTGAAATGTCAATCTAACAAACTTGACGGCGGTTGTGCTAGTCAACAGCGCGAATAACGGGCGCAGTGACTATATAGGGTACCATCACAATGTTCGTCCTGAAGTTGGTTTATTAACATCCACTGCACGCACATTCATACAAGAAGGTGTAACAACGGAATACGGCACACAAGTGGTCGGGACTACACTCGATAGTGGACGGTTATATGCACAATTCTTGAGAAAAAGTTCTCGAGTATTATATAACAATGGCCACAAACAACAACAGACACAGCAAGCAGTTGTATCACCAACAGTTGTCACCAGTTGGGTGGGCGATAATTTGCAACTACAATCCAAATCCTTATTAGAGAGTCATAACGACCTTTTCAATGCTGACTTACCCGATTGGCAAGATATTGATGATCGTTTACTCCGCGATGAGGGTAATATTTTTGTTGGCAATACTGATTTTGCTCATTTAAGTGAAGCAAGGAATAAAAAACAACAAGAGCCTTTAACTAACGATGAGAAAAAAAAGAGCAGTTTGATAATCGCAACACTGTTATCACAAAATTTAACGGATGTAGCTCGTAACAATACGCCAAAACATCTGTTTTCATTGCATACAGTTGGCAATACAGGAAATCAAAATCAAGATTTTGGGCGAATATTAGACGTGAATAAAGTGATGCCCATCGGCGACTTGGCCACATACACTGTTCGTAATCCCTTTTCAGTAAGTGGATTCCCTGAAGAAACCATTATCGAACATTCAGAACTCACACAAAGCAACGCAGTAAATAATTATAGAAACAATGATAACAAATTAAGCCGTTCACCGAAACAGTGCTATCAAAAACAAATGGATCCTAATGGTAGTGACAGTTCCCTGAAAAATGCCCTGAAGCCACTCTTTAATAGCCAATTGCCAACAATAACGTATTATGGCTTTGCTGACTTTACAACTGTTGTCGGGGAGAGTGTGATTGTTTTTTCTCCTAGCAGCGTTACACAAAATATTAATTTAGGCCGCGTGACGTCAATTAAGGGTGAAGCAACGTTAAAAGGTGTTAGCGATATTGAACAAGATACAACAATTGGTGCTATAAAGGTCGCTATGGAATTTGAAGTTGAACCAACTCAACAAATTAGCAGTTTGCCCAATTTGCAATTAATGAATTTAAATTCAAAGATGATACAAAGCCTAAACTTCGTTGATGTTAGTAGCGAAATTTCAAGAGAAGAGGCGGAGGGAATATTACACACATTAACAACTGATGTTAATGATAAAGAACTATCTTTAAAACAAATAAAATTAGTGACCACATCTAATGAAAACATCAAAATTTCCTATTTTACGGACAAGTTATCAAGTGTAAGTGATAACACTTTTAAAACTATTGAAAATATGCTCGGTTCAACGACTGCATATTCCCGTCCTTTAGACAATGAAGATGCAGAAATATATGCGTCACTTTCGCGTATAGCAGCATCACGTGAAAGTATTTCATCAACTATGCAAACAGTCGTCCCGTCATATATAATAAACAATTCGTTATTACTGAAACTATCTGAAAATACTAACGAACAACCAATCACTAATACAGTGGAATTAGTTTCAAAAAGTGTAGAAGCATTGCAAAGCAGTGAACTAACGCATCACACAACTACAGCTATTTTGGATATAACGCCTACTAATACTAGCTCGGAATTACAGATATTAGGGGGTGCCACAACAATATTCTATGAAGATGATCCGTTTGCTAATTTTGTGGAGCCCGTATTTAGCGCTACCAAGGCTACAGATATTTTAAATTTGACAGATATAAAGATAACAACACAACCAGAATACGGAACTTCAACCTTAAGTAATATACCAATAACCACCGAGGAATACGAAGATAGTGTCGAAACAACTACAATTGTTCCCAAAATATTAACAAATATTACTTCGGATGAATATGAAGTCCAAAAAAGTAGTAGTAGTAGTAGTTCTATTGATACATCTCAAAGCGTTTCAAATGTATCAGAAGTTTCTCAAAATGATACTAAAAGAGATGTGCAGGAAATGAATACCGATGATGATGTTGTTGAATTAAGAGACTGCATTAGAACATCACAAACTTTTCTCACACAAATAGCAAAAACGATCACCCAACTAAACACTCTACGCGAGTCGGCCCTACCAGGCGAAGATGAAGCCATACAATATTCGACAATCGAAACTGTATTACTGCCTACCTTCGATATTTTAGAAACTACTAAATTTTATTGTATCAAACCACAGACAGCAACTGTAGGCGCGACAAGCTTTGCCATCGGCGATATAAAGGAAAGAGTAAACGATGGGGTAAAATTAGAGAAAAATGGATTAGATAATATTTACACGGCAACCCTGGCCGAAAACATGGATGATGTAGGTGATGGTCTTGCCGACGATGACATTAATTACATTACCACAATATCAGCTAATATAAATGAGAGAGACCTTTTAGAGTATACAACAACTGATCCTGTAGATAGCGATAATAATAATGAAACTGATGTCAATAATGAAAGTGATAGCGATATAAATTTCGATCAGTCAATTTATGCTTTGGAAGATGATTCGGGTGAAGATATTGAATTGATATATAAAACATTATATACGACATATACGTATTTGACAACATATTTTAATGATGACAGCAGTACTAGTATATCGAGTCACACAGAGGTGTTTACGAATATTATAACCTCAACTTTAGAGTCCGATATTGATGAAATTAAACCAATTTCTTCCACAAAAGAAATATTAAACACAGAGAATGCGCTTAAGCTTAGTATTCGTGATTCATCGAACAATGGTAATAAGGTTAGCAGCAGCAGTAAATTTGTACTACCTACTGAATTAGAGACTATACTGCGTGTTGGAGACCATGATATTGATATTGATAAAACCGGAGATGCAACAGATGCACATACCGCAACCATGTTTTTGGATGATAGTAAAATAGTGAAAACTTATTTTACAACTTATACATACTATACGACTATATTTGTAGAAGGAGAAACGGAAATCATGTCTAGGACCGAGGTATATACAAATTATGTAACGGATGCGGTAACATCCACTACTGTATTTGAGATTGACAAACAAAGTCGTATTGATAATGATAATATTGCAAGTAATGTGGAGATGTTGTCAAACTTAAATCAGGATACTGGCGCTAATAACATTGATATTGACACTAAACGACAAAGAGATGAGAATACACAAAATATGCTAAATGACTATCAAAGATTAAGTGACAACACAATAAGAGCACACGCTGCAATACTTTTTCATGACGACCATCTTAGCTTCAGCAATTATACATTGGTGACTGATATACGTTCGAGTAGTTCGAATGGCAAAAAACATATAATCAATCAAAATCAGGAAGCCTTCTTCGATCAAATCAGCTCCGAAAGCAACACTGACGAAATAAGACCTTCAGCCATTCTATTATTACAGACAAGCTTCACCACTTTTACGTACTATACGACAATGTACAGCAATAATGCGACAAACGTTATAAGTCGTCTAGAAACAGCAACCGATGTCGTAACGGAAACGCTACAGCCGACGAAAACTTCAAGTGTAGATGAAGTAACATTGCCCATAACATATTTCACTACTTTCACATATTGGACAAAACTGGCTAAAAATGGTGAAATCACCACACTTAGCAGAGAGGAAACCGTATCCAATATAGTAACACCTAACACAATATCATCAACACCTATTCAAACAGCAAATGTACTGTTAAGTAACGGGAATACTGTCCAAGGCAAACAACCAAAGACACAAATATCGAATACCGATCAGTTGGATAAAACTACGACTGTGCATTCTACAAATACTATTCATAATAGCGTAGGAAACTCAAGTATTGATAACGAAAACACCGGAGCAGTTTTTGAACCCACGACTTACTATACAACGTATACATATTATACAACATCATATAATGGAGACGGGACCACAACTGACTCACGATTCGAGACTATAACACATGTGGTTTCACCCACAAACATTGCAGATAAAACAATTGAAGGAGCCGCAGGTGAACGTAATATTGTGAGCAGTGCTAATTTAGTGACTGATATATTAGCGTTAGCGATAAACAACGCTGTTACTCCCACTCTTCAAAAAAGTCCTAATACACTGCTTTATGACTACAAAAGAATTATTGATGCAGATGGTGTTAGTACACTGTATTATCGAACGGAAATATTAGCTACAACCGCCATTGATGGTATGCAATCAAATTTCACTAGCAGCTCATCCAGTTTACACGTTGATGAATTGAAGCAAGCCCTGCTTCCGAGCAATATAATAGCAAATTCAGATATCAGTTCGGTACGCCAGTACAAAACGGGACTTGTGCGTTTAATCGAGGGTACTCGTATTGGTAATCATACCACTACCTTGTATCAATCCAAAGTTATTGGCACTTTCATTGAGAATCGGTACGCGCAAATAATTGAGAGTACATCTAGTTTTCTTTTTGAGACAAATAATAATAATATGATAACCACTGATGGATCCATTAAACCGTCTCTTACTTTACCATCAACAGATCAGATCGAAGCCACAGTAAATGTTGTGGCACTAACGTTACAAAACAGCATTGTTGAGAATGCTTCTAATTCAACTGCGACCACCGAGTATAGTAAAGAGGATGAAGAGAATTTCGATGTTGACGCTGGTAATGAAGATGATGGTGGGGATGGTGCTGACGGTAAAATTAATAAAGATCGATTGTCCTATCAGTCAAAGAAGCGTACATTTACTCCAGTAATCCGCCCATTCACTTCCCGCAATCGTCCCCAATTCGCGCCAAAAAAGAAAAACGGTGTTACGAGTAGTGCGACAATTATAACACGACATGATTTCACACCAACAATTACTGCGACACCTGCGCTTAAGTCTAGCGGGCGTTTTAGCACGCGTAAGGGTGTATTTACAGGCATAATAACAACCACAGGTGCCTCCGCTGCTATACCAAACAGTTCATCGTCGCGCCGCACATTCGGGCGCCCGATCAAATCATTATCTTCCACTGGCAGTATCAGTACATCAAATACACCAGCAATTTTGTCTGCAAGCGGCTTCAGTGGAGGCCGAAACCGTCTGCCATCATCGACACGATTACAATCATCGACACGACGTGCCGGAGTTTTAGTGCGGCCTACATCTGCTTCAGGTAATCGGCAAGGGTTTTCTAGTACTTCTGCCAGTAACACTCGTGTACGTATTAAATCTACAAGCTTAACTCAGACTGGACTACAAAATACGCCATCTACAGAGGGTTTACCTATTTTGACATCCGAAACGAGTGGTGAGGAGTCAACAACTCCAGAATTTCAAGCGAGTTTTGATGAAAATGACGAAGGATCTATAGATGTAGCTCGCCGCAGCCAAAATCCTTTGATACGTCTACGAAGGCCGTTAAATAGGCCGACTGGTTTTATTTCATCTAGTCAGCGTGTAGTAAACGGAGGGAGTAGCATTTCTTCTATTGGTTCCGTTTCACAACGTCGAAATCCTTTAACATTACGAGCTAAACCGACGACTCTTACAAGTACTACAACGACGACGCAAACGCCACGGGCACGAAGCTTGGAGAGGCCTAAAATCAACAATGCACTAAGTAGAACGCGGCCACAAAATAGCCTTTTTCCACCACGTGGTCTATTACAGAGACAAACAAATCAGGAAATTAATGAAGCCAAGGAAAATAAAAAAGCTGATAGTACAGAAGGCAATGTCGATATCGATGATGATTCCGAGTATGATGACGAGGATGAAGAAGACAATGAAGATGATGCCGAAGGAGATAATAATCGTCGTAGACGTTCTAATATTAAGCAACATAAATTATCAACAGGAGTTGAAAATACCTCCACAACTGATAACTATAAAATAAAATATTTATCTACAAGATCGAAATCGATACGTGTACGTCGTGAAGCTGAAACTCCGTTACAAAGGCGAAGTAGTTTTCGAAATAGATTCAGGCGTCCAAAGTTAACGGCTTCAGCTACTACTGCCGAAGATCAAAATTATAAAGAAGATATTGAGAAGGAAACGCCACCTTTCTTAACTACAGCAGTAACCCGTTCACGAACAAGTGGGCGTTTTGCACCACGCTATGGATTGCAACACGCCAGCACACAAGCCGTTACAGCACCAGCGACTACTACAAGTACAGGAAATCACCACGCTATCAGACCAACACGCCCCTCTAACGGTCGAGCTCAATTCACGCTACGTGAAAAAGATACAACCACAACAACTCAAAAAGGTTTGACACGTCCAGGAACTAGCCACTTTCGACGTCCACAGACAGCAGCCTCATCTAGACGTTCGTCTTCTCCAACGATTAGCAATAGGCGGAAAACATTCAACAACAATAGCAATTTGTCACAAGATGCAGTTATGCGTAGCACGCCTTCGCGTGCACGTACCAACTTAAGTCGCACACGTACAACCGTGCGTGGACGCAGTCGTAACGACTACAATGTTGACACCCTTGTACTACCATATGATGGCACTATAACTATTACACATGTTATACCAGCCGAAGTAACTATACCTGTCGTCAATGGTAAAATTACTGAATATAAAAATGTTGTGACAGCTAAAACGAGCACGGAGATTTTATCTCCTCAGCAATATACCACTTTTCTGGGTAGTAATGGACAAACTATGTTGGCATTGACCCGGGAAGATTCAAGCGTGAATTTCGGTGGGGTTACTGAGGTTACACAGTACGTACTTCATGAGTCGCCGACGACAACAATTATTTTTACACCCACCACAATACGTGGCCGCAAAACATCCTTTTCACACGTAATACCATCAACTGTTTATTCAGTGGAAAATGTTATTTCAACAACTCAGCCACAAATTTCACCAAACGCGCCGTTAGCAAACATATTATTATCGCAGTTGCTGCTCGGAAATATAGGTCTACCACCGGCGAATCCATTACTTGGAGCATTAGGGGCGGCAGCAACACCTCCACCTATTCAATTAGGTGTAGGTAGTTTAGTACCACCCACACCGGTTACTGAATATCGCACGCATACATCTACATATGTTACAACAGTTTTTGAGGGTATGTCTACCGTCTTACCCGTTACATTCCAGGGCAAAAAGATATTGACTACGGTCTACGATACAACTGCGCAAACAATAACAGCTACTGAGTTTGTGACAGATACTATTGTTACAACACCGATACACCAAACGCATTCCGCACCACAGGTTAATAGCTTGCTGATACAACAACTATTATTGCAGCAACAACTACAGCCACAGCTACCAATACTACATTCTACGGCACCTCATCTACTATTAAGTGATAATTTGCAAGAACTTGATACGAACCATATACGACTTTCTAAAGAAAATGATAATGATATAGCAGTTAACGAGGATTATACGCAACATAATAAAACTAGCCGAAAGAAATCGCGAAAGTCCAGTAAAGGACATAAGCGTAAGCATCAATCATTCCAAGATGAAGTGCCAGAGCGTTCTAGTATAATAACATTGTATGTATCCGGCCGCCGACCCGGTGAGTTTAGCACAATTTTAAGTACCGTACCACTTGGCTCTGACTCCACAATACACAAACGCCAAGCTCCTGGTGTTCTACAACAAACTTCCAAAATTTATACAATCGATAATTTTTACACATCTGATGGCAGTGAATATGCGTCCACATATCTAATGCCGCAATTGAAGGATGATAAGACGAAGAAACAGATTGAATTAAATTTACTTGAAAGTGGAGGACATCATTTGATGGACCAGCAAACGCAATCGCTAGAGAGTATTGTAGGCGATGTTGATACATGGATTGCGCAAAGTACGCACTCATTTGAAAACGCAGTAGCACTTGAAAAACAATTAGCGCCCACTATGCCGCTGCAAAGAAGAGACGCTCAAATTACAGAGAGTATTTATCTTAAGCAAAGGTCGAATGTGACCGGATATAAAAAGATAAAAATAATTGTTTAATGTAGTTGACCTTACTGAGTTGCCCCCATGCTAGTTCATGGTCATTAATATTGTCACTATAGGCACGAAAGCGTCGATAAGTATATTTAAAAATATTGGTTTTGAAAAATATAAAAACATTTAGGCGTGCAACCTGAGAGGCAGCAGTAATGAAAACGACGAAGAGGAGGGGAATGAAACTTTAGAGAATGACAAGGAAGAAATTAAGGTTAAAAACAGCAGGAAAACGAAAATGGGCTACTCATATACTTTGGGGATAATACGGAACACAATAATACCCAGCAAAATTCTGTACAAAAGTATTATTAAAAACAAAATCACATCTCTTAGTGGAAATAAAAATAAGACGCATAATGATATAATGGAGAACAGGAGCAAAAGGAGTGAATCTCTTTTAAAGAAATATGGGCGTTTGATACCACTACAATATGGTAACATGGGCGACGATGCGTTGAAAATGTGAAACGGGTATGATAGTAGTAAAAATAACATAACTTTGAATATTGTTAATTTAAACTGTAGATGGTAGTCGTACGGCGTAAAAAACTTCCAACACCGTCGTCGAGAAAAGTAAACAGTACAACAACCGACTATAGTGCAATCACCTACTCGTGCATCACGAGTCACAATTGTTATAAACAAAAAAAAAAAAAACAACAACAATGGAAACAATCACTGATACCAGAGAACAACATAAACAAAAGTAATCACCAAGCATATTCTGTAAGTGATGGAAGTATGGCAAACATTTTGTACGTTACGCTGCCAAATATAATTTATAATTTTAATAATATATATACTCATCAGTGTGTACCAAAAATATTGTGTATAAAGATAAATTTAATAACTTTTCCGGCCCTGACAAAACACCTAACCATCCTATCTTTCTAAGCAGTGATATGAAAACTTCTCCATCCGAAAACCGTGGACGTATTGTTATGAAGGGTATAAACAAAATATAGGGAGTATTACATTTTACATGCATTTTACAAAAAGTCGCAGAAATCTGAAGATACAACTTCAAGGAACTTGAAAGAACCCGCTGCTCCGAGCAGAAGTAAAAATAGACGTAGGCGCAAAAAGAAGAATCGTGGGTAGCATCGGAGAAACCAAAACCCAAAATTAAAAAAAAAAACCAATTAAAATGCTCACGAAGTAGTCGCCGAAAAAAAATAATACGCAGGCAAAATCATTATTTTCACAGCAATCAGATATGCTAATTGAAATACGTACATGCATATGATAAGGCAAGGTAAAACTCTTGTCATTTTAACATTCATGCGTAATGAAATTCCTGTTGCAAGAGTATGAATGTAAGGAAATTAACTTGTAAATTAATTAGATGATATGGCAACCTCTTCCTAACAGATACTTCACGAACACACGTTTTTCGTTACCTTTAAGGACTTTATTCAAGATATTCTGAATATTTTAGAATCCACGTTACAGTTCTGCTTATAATGTTTTATTTATTTCTAACTCATAACATAAATATATAATAAAACAGACAACAATCATACTTTGCAAAATTCAGTTCAGAAACCTATATGTTATTTTTTTTGCAAAATTTTATTAATTTAAATATGACCCATCAATATGACCTCTATTGGCATGGACCTAAAATAAAGACAAATCAATATTTGCTCATTTCTTTTGGATTGCTTTTTCCAATTTTAATACTGTTTGGACCTATCGGTATACACTTTCTTGAATAAAATGTTCCATAGATTTTCGATAGGACTTGTTCCAATTTATCATTGTTTTTTGCTTTCCATACATCTTCGAGTAGGCTCAGCTTTATGAAATTGTTCGTTATCATTGTAGGAAAGTCGTGTCTACCCAAAATTGATCACCAAACTTCACTACCACGTCATTCAGATATGTACAGTGGGCGGCAAAAGTCTACATACGATGACCATTTTGGCTATCTGACATTATTTTTTGTTGTGCGCTGCGGCGCAATAACGGGAAAGTACCGCTAGTTATATTTTGGTGTTTTGCTTGGTAATAGACATACTTGGATATCATTTAGTTGTATTTTGGCTGTTTCCACAAGTTCGTCCCCGTAAAAAAATATCAATTGATTTGCGAAACTTAGTAGTAAAGTATAGAAATGAAAAGAAATCGTTTGGTGAAATATCAAGTTTATTAAATATATCAAAACATAACATAAAAACATAAAATTTAACAAACAATATCAAAAAGTACAAAAATACGAATAGCCTTGAAAATAAACCGCTCAATGGTCGCCCAAAGAAGCTGAGTCGCAGAGATGTATCGTTCGTTCTGAAAGAAGTGGGTCAAAATCCGAAAGTGACAGCCACTAAGTTGGCCGCAGAGGTAGCAACTAGGTCGAATACAAGTATGCATCCACGAACAGTTCAAAGGGCCTTGAATAATAATGGGTTTGAAAGCAGAACTGCACGTAAGAAACCGTATATAAGTGAAAAAAATCGCAAACTTCGTTTGGAATTCGCACAAAAGTTTTTAGACAAGGGAACCGATTTCTGGAAACGAGTATTGTTTACAGATGAGTCAAAATACAATTTATTTGGAAGTGACGGTAGAGCAAAAATTTGAAGAAAACCAAATAACGCAATGAACCCGAAACAATTAGTTCTTACGGTGAAGCATGGCGGTGGGGGTGTAATGCTTTGGGGCGCTGTCGCTGCATCTGGAGTTGGAAATTTGGTGTATGTGTATCTTATAATAATAATAATAATATCCAACGATTACCCTCCTCTCGCCCAACCGATGCGCGGGGCGCAATCCGCGAACGAGCGGAATTAGCCGAGTCATAAAAGGCAAGAGAGTTTTAAGCGTTGCGATCTTAAGCTGCTCAGCTACAGAAACAAAAATTTCAAACAGCCAAAATTAAGAATTAGATTAAAGTTTATAATTTTTAAATGTTACTTGTTAAGAGTAGATAAATATTTTTTTTAATGGTAAAGACAGAATCTGTTAGATCAAATGTGCTGGAATGAGAATTGAAATCATGACATATGCGGCGGCATGGTTCTTTTAGCTCAAAATTTGTTCTAGAAAATTTTAAAAGTACGGGTCTAAACTACCTTGTCGAAGCGAGCGGGAACGTTAGAATTAATATCAGATAAAAGAGATGGGCTACAGACTGACCCATTCGTGAGTTTTACAAGAAATATTATACCAAGCATCTCCCTACGACTAGCGAGTGTTGGGAGATTTATAAGTTTTAAACGATTAGTATAAGGAGGAAGATTTAAACTGGGATCCCAATGCAAATGATTTAAGGCAAAAAGTACAAATTGTTTTTGAACGGACTCTAACTTATCTGAATGGACTTGGTAACTAGGGTTCCACACCACTGATGCATACTCTAATATAGGCCTCACCAGAGATGTAAAAAGAATTTTTGTGGTAAGCGGATCTCTAAATTCTTTAGACCAACATTTAACAAAACTTAGAGCACCTTTAGCTTTAAAAATCATGGAAGATGTGTGAAGATTATAATTGAGTTTGTGGTCCACAGTTACTCCTAGATCAACAAAACTACATACTTGCTCCAACCTAAAGTTTGGTATTACGTATGAAGTAGGGTCTACAGATCTACGTGAAAAACACATCGTTTTACATTTTCTAAGATTCAATGGCATGTCATTTCTATCACACCAAGAAACTAGGTTATTTAAGTCTGTTTGCAACTGACATCTTACACTATTTGAGGTGAATGATTTAAAAAGTTTTACATCGTCAGCATATAATAAAACATTTGAAAACTTAAAAACAGATGATAAGTCATTAATAAATAACAAGAACAGAATTGGACCAAGATGGCTACCTTGAGGAATGCCTGAAGGAACACTGATTATGTCGGAAAGAGTATTGTAAAATAGGCCTTGTTGAATTCTATTACTAAGATAAGAAGCAACAAATTTTAGAAATATTGGTTGAAAGCCAAGAAGATCAAGTTTATTCAAAAGAATTGAATGCTTTACTTTATCAAAAGCTTTACTAAAATCTGTGTATATAACATCAGTATTATTATTCTCCCTAAAGCCCGTTGATACATGTGATGTGATATTGTAGATTTCCTTTTACGAGAACCGTGCTGAGAACAAGAAATTAGTGGAGAGATCCAGAAGGTTATGTCGTCTGTTATAATTGCTTCAAAAAGTTTAGGTATCGCAGACAACTTTGCTATTCCCCTATAGTTTTCAATAGATGACCTAAATCCACTCTTATGCAAAGGAATTATAAATGACTTTTTCCATATGGATGGAAATAAGCCTTGCATAACAGATGAATTAAATAGTTTTGTTATTGGTTGGTATAAATATTTGGCACATTTCTTAAGAAAGCACGAGGGAATCATATCTGGGCCGTAATTGTATGATTGTTCTAACATATTTAACTGCCATAAGACGTCTGCTTCGGAAATAGTAGGTGCATTAATAACATAAATCGGACATAACTTGTGCTGATGCGGAACATATTTTGGAGATTTTGGAGAGTAATTGGACTTAAAGAATTCAGCGAACATATTAGAAATGGTGTGATTGTCACTAGACATACTAGGCTTATATTTCTTAGCAGACGGAAAATTAGAAATCCTGCGTTTGGAGTTGACGAATCCACAGAACAATTTTGGATCACGTATAATATTATTTTTTACTTTATTTATATAATTATTATAACATATTTTGTTAAGTTCAGCAAATTGTCGGCGCAATTTAGAATATTTTGAATAGTCAGCAACTAAACCAGTTTTTTTTAAAAGTTTAAAAGCTCGTGACTTTCTATTTTTTAATTTACATAATTCTTTCGAAACCTATAAATTATAACTCATTTTTTGAGTAACAACACACTTCGGAACATATTTTTCAAATAAGTTTAAAATAGTTTCATAAAAGTAGGTAGCACTAAATTCAATATTGCCACTGTAATCTGGCCAAGTTACCTTAGAAAGTTCTTAAAATTAGCTTTCGCAAAGTTGAACCGAAGACAAAGGTCTTGTGTATTATCATGACCGAAGTTAGCTATGATTTCGATGTCAACTTTCAAAGCAAGTCCTCTGGCCGAACCAAAGGATCACATCGGACAACGGAGAAAATTGAAGCGTTATCAAGATAAACTAGTTCAAAGAACTTACCAACCTCGTTTGAAATTAAATTATTTTGGATACGACCCAACGCCGATATTTCATCTCAGAACTCGTTAAAACTTAAGCGAGTACTAATAGGAATGGAGTGATCATCAATAGATTTCCCTAATACGCACGCTAAATTGACGTACCCCAAAACAATCGTGGAATCAGTATTATTAGCCATTGAGAAAACATTATTTATTAATGAAGCATGCTGCATATAAACAGATATATCCGAGTGAGGCGGTATATAAGATAAAGTTAAGTCGATATGGTCACTATTAGCGCAAATACGAATGCACTTGCATTATATGAAGTCTGCATGCGGAACATCGAATTCTTCAGATGGAATTGAAGAATGAACAGCAAACAAGACACCACCTCCTTTCTTGTTCAGCCGGTCAAATCTAAAGATTTCAAATTCGCTAATGTGGGGCTTTAACCAAATTTCTGTGAAAGCAATGATTTTAAAATTATAACTGACGCTATTTGAATACAGATCGGCGAGTTTTGTATTAAGGCCTCTCACATTTTGGTAATAAATACTCAGCGAATTATTGCTAATCAGTTTTTTGTACCAACGGGTTTTCTTGGCATTTTA